TGATGTTGCATGTTCTGGCTGTTGTCTGCTGCAGAGCAGTGGCCTGGGGGTGACAGAGAAACAGAGGGTGAGAAGTACCTGAGGAAGAAAGGGTGGGGGCAGTTTGTGCACCCAAAATGGTTTCTGCACCCAAAATGGTGTCCTGCCCATGTTTGGGCCAAGCCCCTTGTCCTTGCTGAAGTGAGAGAACAGAGCTCCCCGAGAAGGACAGCAGGGACTGTGGGGTGACCTGCCTTCCTCCAGTTCTCCCAGGAGGTTCAAGAAGGGACAACAGTGACGTTCACTCTTCCTCATCCTTTACCACCTTCTGTGTTTTCCCTGCCAAGTATCAGCTAACGTTTGGGTCGGGAAGATGTGGGAAAAGAGCTCTGGACAGAATTCCTTTGGCGGGAGCTAGATGGCGCCGTGGAATAATGCTCCAGCCCTTTACCTGGGTGCTCTGGGGCAAACCCACCTCTGGGCAATCAGTGTGCTGGGGGAGTATAAACCCAGACCAACGGGAATATCCATGTCCTGGTGTCCTCCCGAGCGCCCAGCGCCTGCTGGACATCAGCAAGGAGGCGAAGCTGGAATTGTGCTGCTGCTGATGGGGTCAGAATCCTTGGCTGGACACCGGGAGCTGCCATGGGCTCACTCCAGTGGTGGGCTCTGACAGGGCAGGTGGCTGGGACAGCAGAAACCCTGCACTTGCATTAATACATCCAGGTGGAAAGAAGAACAGCTGTTGATGTTACCAATGAAAGTTGTCCTCTTTTTATTTTTTATCTTCTTTTTTAAAATTTTTTTGAGATATTGTATATTAAATAAAACAAAAGCAAGGAACCTACAACCTCTACATAACTCCTCTTGCAACACTGATATGTATTTCCAATTTTTCAGGCTATTTCTCTAGTGATGTTAAAGGATACTCCCCTGGAATCATCCGAACTTTCCACTGAACTACTTTTAAAAGAGGAAAAAAAAAGGCAAACACACAATAGAATAAACTGGAAAGCACATCTCTCTGCACAAATGTCAGCACACTGCCGGGTATGGGATTTGTATTCAAACAAAGTTTTGCTCTTTCTTTTTGTGAGGGAAAAAAGAGTCTTACTTAAAAACAAATGGCTCATAAAACAATGCAAAGAGAGTGGGGAAGACCACTTTATTGTGAAAAACTGAAAATTCAAAGAGCAGCACCATGTGAGAACTCAAAAAGCAGTCAACAATGGGAGCAAACATGGGACAATTTGGAGGATGATCAGTGGAAGCTGGAAAATGTTTAATGGGGGCTCCATACCCAGCTCAAGCACATGCACTGAATTGTTCTGTGGCTCCTGTGAAGCAAACTGAGAGATAACCAGCTTCAAACTCTCCAGCCCCTCATCACTGTCACTGGCCCCAGCTGCTAGAAAAAGGATGGATGAATGGCTGGCCTAGGAAATGGGTCATCCTTTGGCCTCTAGGAAGGTTGGAACAACGTGAAGCTGTCACCAGTCTCAGCAAGGCTCAGAGCTGTGTGGGGTGCCCAGACCAGAATGGTTGTCTGCCTTTTTCTCTGGGGTATCCGGTATCATCTGTGACTAGAAGTGTCACTGGTGGCAGACCCAGGTCCACCATCCCTGGGGAGAGGATGCTCTGCCCGGGCCCCTTCCCACCCTCTGTCTCCTGCCCATTTCAAATGCTTAGCACCAGGCAAAGAGGGGCTCCCCTCCACCCTGTGCTGCCCTGATATGAATAGCTGCTTTCAACCTTCTACAACAAAACAAACAAAACCCTCCCCCAAAACAAACCAAACCAAAAATAAAACCCACAAAAAAACCCCCAAAAGACAAAAGAAGAAACCCACAGGAAAAAAGGAAAAAAAGTAAACTTTAGACAAAATACCTTGGGAAGACACTCCCAAGGTTTGTTCCAGAAAAGATTGGAGATGCGTGCGTCTCCGAGTCTCCTCACTGACCGTGTGAGGGGACAGACATTCACCAACATTCTTAAAGCTTTACTTCTTCTTCCTATTCTTTTCCTGACATTTGCTGTTTTATGCTCTCTGGCAGCCAGCAGAGCTCCACTGATGCTGACTTGCAGAGCCCACAGAGATACGAAGGAAATATTTTTCCTAGCAACAAGCAGCACACGAAAACACCAAGAGCCGCTTCCCCTGCTCATATTTCCCTTTGGTTTTTTTGGTCATCTGGTGCTGAGATAAGAGCTGCATGGTGGAACCTGCAACTGCCTAGTGTTTTCTGAGGCACTCTGGAATGGAGGAATGCGTGGAATTTGTCTGCAGAGCCACGGTGCTGAGTGGGAATGCTGCCCACCATGCCCAGCTGTGTCAATCCCTGGCTGCTTATCCCTGGCTGGTCCTGAGGGACCTCAGGTGGCTCTCCAGGGCCCTCAGGTGTCTTTCCAGTCAGGAAAGAGGTGCATGGCATCACCCTAAGGTGGTATCTACATCTAGGCTGTGTGGGGCAGGTCCTTTGGGAGCAATGCTGCTGCCTGAGGCACCTATTCCCAGAGAATCCTTCACAGGTGAGGGTCTTGGATGCTGCTCTAATGAGAATCTAACCATTAATAAAGGAAAATGGGAGCATGCCCAGCTGCCAGGGCACTGAGGAGCCCTCTCAAGCACATGTGGTGCTTGAGTTCCTGAGCAAGCAGGAGAAACATGGGCACTATTCCCTTTCCTGTGGAAACCTGAAGAGGAAGCTAGGGATGGTGCTTCATCCCTAGGGAAGGATTTTCTATTTATTCTCTGCTGGTGAGGCAGGGTTAATGTGTTAACATTATTTTACCCAAAATGTAGTTTTCTGGGATTTAATTATTAGCCATGTGGGGGCAATGACTGGTCCTAGTGTCTGCTTGTGAGTAACTCCCCCATCTTCCCTGTCCTTGCTTAGCCATCCTGAAATAGCATCCACAGCTGGGAGTGAAGAGGGGCTTTGTCAACACCAGCAAATCACTGTTCCTGCCTCTGCAAGGTCAGGTGCTTAACACAACGTGTCCAAGACTACAACTGCCACCAGTGAGGAGCATGGAGAGTCAGGAAGCAGTTGGGAATTACACAAATTCATGGGCAAAGTTGAAATAATTCTCAAGGCAGAGCCAGCCTCTGAATTTAGGGCCAGCCTCACACCTATAGGGTGACTATTTAGTGAGTAACTTCAGCGGGGTTAGGATGGAGCCCAGGAGGTTCTTACTCATCGCTTCATGGGTCACTGACAAGAACAACAGCTGCAGAACATGGTCCTGTGTCATCAGTGTCTTTCCTGAATTCGTCCTCTAATATTTTAGAAGAATTTACCCCCTGGAAAAGTTCAGTAGAGCAAACTGAGAAGCTCTGTCTGCAGTGGAACACTTACTTCTGTCGTTGCCTAGAAATTGCTTGCATGAAGATAGGAGCAAGTCTGTGAAACCAGTTTGAAAGCAGCATGTAGGCAAGAGAATATGCACTTCAGGCAGACATACATGTCCCAAGATAAGAAACTGTCCTGCAGGCTGAAACTGGAGATCAAAATCTTATATTTTGCCTGAATATAGATCTACATTACAGTGTGATTCTTACAAACTCTGCTTAGCACTTCCATGGTTCCTGTGTGTGGACATGGAGCTGGTTTTTTTGCAGTGAAACTGCAAATACAGCCCAATGATGATGATTTTACATGCTCTAAAAGAATACTGAATAGCGAAGGATAAAGTTTTAAAAATAACCCTTCAGGGTTTTTTTAACTGAACTTGAACTCTTAAGGGGTTTCAGATTTGCCAGTTGCTCATTACAATTTATCCGGGAATTGTATTGCAGCGAACATCCTAACGTGTAGGGACCAGATAGAAGACCTAAAGGCTCTATTGTGTGAGGAAGGACAAATCTTCTGGTTTATCCTTCACTTTGGAGAAGAAAACAATGTGAGGAAATGGTGTGTTGATCAGTATGTTGCACACATCGTGCTCTATAGAATGAAAAACACAGGGCAGTTGCCTTCTACCCATTCAAATAATGTTCTGTGGGCAGGCAGGTAAGGTACATACCCTGCTCCATATAGTGCTTAATGGCTTTTTGTTATTTATGTTCTGAACTGCAGCTGAAATATTATAAATATAAATCAGGGTAAATTCAAAAGCATCCATTTTTTTCAAGACAGAAGGGGAAACATCCCCTCCTTGCAGCTAATAATAGGATCAGCAAATTGTTAAACAATTAAATTGAAAAATTTTAATAATAGGTGCTTTATGCATGTTAAACAAAACCTCAATAAGCTTTCTGTTTTATTGTTCAACTGTATGTATGAGTCATAAGGAAAGTGTTAATGTCCAGGATCGGATATGAATCACGTATTTGTGAACAATCTTGCAAGGGCACCGAAAGCCCAAACACATTTATTCCCCGTTGTAAAGTCAGCTCTGCACTTGGAAACTGAAAGTGTAATCAAAGTGAGAGTTTATTTATTAACCAGTGGGTGCTGTGCATCTTATTTACACAGATTGATAATGAGGGGTGAAAAACAAGGGAAGAAGCTGGTGGTGCACGGGGCTCTATGTCCCTGGGATACAAACCACAAAAGGAACCTGAGCTGCATCAGCACCAGCCACTGAATACTGAAAGGGGGGGTTCTGTGACTTTAAAAGGCAATCCCCTATTCATTAAGGCAATCCAAATGGCACCTATTTGTGAGGAGAAGTGCCCTATTCCCTTAAAAGCTGACTCGCAGCAGTTGTTGTTTTGACTGCTTTAGCATCAAAAAGGGTGGGAGAATTCACTTCAAGGGGAACACACAAAACCACGGGAATAATTTGGGTGTTAATTATATAATGCATTGATTTGCATCACAGGTAGATGACTGCCATCACTGAACTACAAGCTCTTTGTGCTGGCTGGTTTGGGGCTTGCTGAGGGGACCAGGTTCTCTGTAGGAAGTAATCTCACCTGATAATTATTTCCAATCACTTTTAGTAAGCGTGTTTCCAATTACCTCTTCTCTGGAAAGGAAGGCTGAGTTGCCTATTCTGGAGGAGGTTTGGAGCCAACTGCCAGAACTCATGCCCAGAGTTTTAGGCTATAGAAGTCTTTTGAATTTTAACTTTTAGGTTTAGGGGAAATATAGGTCAGCCTCTGATGCTGCTTGACCTTGAAAAACATCACTTTTTCTTGTCTGTTTTCCCTAAATAGACCCTAAAATCCATTTTGCTAAGTTGCAATAGGGATTGTCCACTGCCCATCCCATCCTTTACTGAGCAAGCTGCTGCTGGATTTTAGCTGTGCTGGGAGTGCATGACTGATACCATTATGGCACATAGCATGGAGCTCCTTTAGAACGTGACTGAATTGCTGCATGGAACACGACTGAATTGCTGTGGGCTTGCGAAGGTATGTCCTCTCCTGCCTAGCTCATTCATGGCTTTCTTGTAATTTTAAACTATACTTAAGTTTTAGCAATAACTGAAGTTTTTGTACTTTTGTCTATCTAAGGTTAGTTTAACACTGCCATTCTGATCTTACAAGACCATAAAAATCTGGCTATCAATGATAATGTTAAAAAAAAGTGAGAAGTAGAACAAATAACTTGGCAAGGCTTTGACTGAGCCTGTACTTGTATGGGGAATTCCTGGCCCTGTACTCCTAGCACCAAACCTCACCTGCAGGTAAGAAATGACACGTTTGCCAAACTTCCCTGCTGGAGAGTCTGAGCAACTGGTTTTGCCACACATGGAAATGTGGCTTGTGCTCTCAGGTGACAGGATGCTTGGAGTCACAGCTTGGCACACTCCTGGCCTTTTTGGGAGGTTACTGAAGCCACCTCCAGGTTTTCCCCCATGGCATGGCTTTGAATGTTGTGGATGCAAATATGTGTGTGTGGGTTAACTTTAAAGAAAGCAACCATTAGTGTTTTACTCAAAGGCGATCTAATTGAAGTCAGCTTTGGTGATCTACAGGGTGAAATCTACAGTGATTTTAGAGGTAAACTTCATTTCCCAGAAACTTCCAAGTCTATCCAGGTCCTCAAATAAAAATTTTTCTTTTTCACATGTTAATATTCACATGTTTAAAGCTAGGCAGATGCTCAAGGTTTGCAATAACAAAACCAAATATATGAAAAATTAGAAGTAGTTCACTTTGCTGTTTTGGTCAGTATTCAAGTTCTGATTAAGTAGATGTGGGTTTTTTTGTGGTGTCTGACCTAAAAATCCCTGAGACCTTTTGCTGTTGCAGAAACATGAATTGACAGTGATTAGAGATGCTTCCTCCTTCAGGCTGTGTTTTCTTTCTGTCTCAAAGTGGGATGCACCACCTGCTCTGTTTAAGTAGAAGTAGGGAATGTCTACCTTTAATACATAACCCTTTTCACATCATCAAATTTGGCTTTTTAAAAAAATTTGTTACATTCTGTAGGTGTCACCTGCTTTGAGCAACTTAAGTGGGAGCACAAATACAACTGTGCAAAGCAATGGTGTGTTGATGCTTTATGGCAAAGTCCTTTCTGGATGCTGAAATAAAAATATTGGAATGTACGAGAATTTAACCATCTTATTGCAGACACGTGGATTGGTCTGTCTTGCTGTTCTGACCGCATTTATGTTGTTGCTTGGTGTCAGATGGTGTCTCTGGATTACATCCTTCGGGGATGTATTTATGTCTCCAGCTAGGGTCACACAGGGATGTGCTCAAAGAGCACTTGCACTGCAGCCTAGTGGGAGCTGACACTTTCTCACTTTTGTGTTTGTCACTGTCTAGAGTGAGAATAAAAATAAAGGAACCTCCCTACAGTGCAAAGCAGCTTGACTTACTCTTGTCTTTGTGCCTATCCTTGTTGTTGAAGCGTTCCCAAAAAAAGGGATGAGGGTCATGCCTGATGGTGTTGTAGTTTTGATGGAGTTTAAAGATATCTTACAACCTTTCCTGTTACCTCTGTGTGCAGTCCATAGTAATTTTGGGTGCAGCCTGATGATTTTCCTTATTTGTAGCTTCAGCAGTGGGTCAGATTTGTTAAATTTTTTTTTCTCCTTAGAAGATAAAGTGCATCTCCATCCCTTGTCTACAAGAAGTCTCCCTGGCTTCTGCCTGCCCTCAGCAGGGTCAGCTCACAGGGCCTGCTCAAGGTTGAAAATTTAGGCTTTGCTGCCATGCATTGTCTTGGGTTAAAAAATGACTGTACTGAGCTGATTACCAGGGAACATGCAGTTTCCTTATTGCTGATGAGAGGGCTGCAATACGTGTCTAAATCCCATTAGTGGAAATCTACTCACTGCAGAACTATGCAAGATTTTTCAGAACTCATGTAGTATAATTGTACAAATATGAGGTATGAAAGGGAATAAACCTAATTTTATGAGCTGTTTCTGTGCTATTGCAGTGTTGGTTTTTGTTATTTTTTTTAAATTTTATTTTAAAGGCTACAGTCTCTGGTGGTACAGGGTCAAAAATTGTTCATTAATATTTCATAGTTTGGAGATGCAAGAAGTGTCTCTATAAGATGGTAGTTACACATCTCACGAAGTCCAGACCCTAACAACCAATATTCTGCAGAAACCCAGAGCAGCTGCCAAGCACTCAGTGCTGGGACTGTGAGTGGAGGTGAGCTAAAAATGGTCCCATCTGCGCTGCAGTTTTAAGGTGCTTGTGTTTAGCGGTGCTTGGCTGCTTGTAGGAATTGTGGAGCACCTGACTTTATCAGACCCTCTGCTGCTGAGAGAACAGAGTATCACCTGAGGGGAGTTTTTAACTCCTCTACCTACTGGAAGATGCCACATGAAAAATTCGCAAGTCCCAAAGGAGTGTTGAACATTTCTGCTTCTCTGTGGTTACCCAGGAAGAGGAGGAAGGATTGTCTAGAATGCTCTTAAAGATGCTTCAGCCAGTTTATAAACATCTTCACCTCTGTATCAAGACCTCAAGGGAGGCCTATATTAGAAGTGTGTGGGGTTTTGTCCCAAAATACAAACATTACTGTTAAATGCAATTATTGGGGGATATTTAACTGAACCACCTTAGTGTGAGTTTAAAAAAATAGAGGACAGAATTAGATGTAAATTAGCAGCAGTGGAAAGATACTTAGCTGAGTTTAAGCTTTTGTACACTGCTCTCTCTATATAATGAGGAAAAACTGCGCAGCAGAAGCATTTATGCTAGGTTAAGTTAAAAGCTGTACAAACTCCATTTAACTGCATAAGTATTGGCTTTTAGGTATGAAAATAAGTATATTTTATTCTGATAGTAACATTTTATGGCTCACATTCATTGGCTTGCTAATATTCATCCTAGAAATAAGAATATCATAGCTACTCATGTATAGCTAAATTATAAATTATTGCTGTGTTCTGCTATGGCAGCTACAGGAGGATAATATTAATCCTAGAAATAAGAATATCATAACTACTCATGTATAGCTAAATTATTGCTGTGTTCTATTATGGCAGCTTCAGGAGCTGGGTTTTGTGTGCCAAGGGTTTTTTCAGAAAGTGATGCATTCTGCAGGAAGAGATGTGCAGTAAGAGGAAACAATGCATCCATTAAAAGTTACTGCTCTCCCAAACAAAACAAAACAAAAAACCTAAACAACAACAACAAAAAAAGTGGGGACAAACACAAACCAGAAGGGAGATTTTGTACACCTCCTTTGTTCCATGAGGGATCTTCCCCAATAACAGGAGTGCTCCAGTTAACCTCTAAGCAGTGACAACCTTGAGAAATATGATTAGGATAACAAGTGGATTGTATTTTTTATTTCCCTCTCCTCTGTTTTCTTAACAACAACAACAACAAAAATCCCAAGTAGGCATTCAACCCAAATATTTCAGACACTGGAATTAGCACACTTGGGTTTACATTCCCATGATTCCCTGTGGTCGATACCTTTCACTGGACTGTTGATAATCACTGGTTTTTGTTTGCTTCTTCCATTTTAGGAGCTCTGTGGGTTGAGTGGCTGTTTGTACAGTATTATTAACAAATGTGCCAGTACTATGCCACTGTGAACAATTATTTCCTGTTTATTATCAGTCCTTTACAGCCTGCTTGTCACTTTTTGGGCAGGTAACTGTGCTGTGCTGAGCTGCCAAGAAAGGAGCTAATACTAAGAAAAGGCTCAGGGAGACTTCATAGCTTAGAATAGTTTATAGGGGCAGGTGTAAGAGATAAAGGAATAATGTCATATTTATTGGTTTAGAAGATTCTAGTGAGGGCCATAAAATGCAAGCCAGAGCATTAGAACAGAAAGTAAGTGGTGTTATTTTTGGAGATTTTTTGATTTGCTGTTTTTCTTTAAGCTTGCTACCCCAAACATTGTAATGCTTTGCAGTACACTTGTCTGCTTTCTGATTTTGTTGCCTTTAGATTAACCCAGCCATAACATTCTTTCTTTAAAAACTAGAAACACAAGCAAACTCCTGATTACTCAGAGTAGTAAGTTAAAACAACCAAACCAACCCACACAAATATTGTGAGATCAATTTAGAATGCATTTTGAGCCAACCTCTTCTTAAACAATGAAATGTCTCTGGTTAAGGTTTATGCTAAATTAAAGGATTCAGAACCATTACTGGGTAGGAAATTGAATTCAGAATTGGAGGACTGGAAGTGTCTGACAGCTGTTTTTATTAGAGCTGTGGAAATCTGGTCTGCCCAGGAAAAACATCAGGTAGCCAAGTTTAGGACAGTCTTTCTGCCTTTGACTGAAACTGGGGCTTGCATGAAGGCCTTACAGTGAGGCCTTCAATTCCTGAATGAGCATTCCATTTGTGTGTCCCAAAATTAGAAGGGACTCCTAACAAATACCCTGGGTTTGGCTCATTTTTGTTGGAAAGGGCCCCTTAGGAGGTTTGTTGCCTTTGAGTCCTGTCTGGTTGCACTGGGAAATATTTACAAGCCACACTTCCTCACATTTGGAAGTACAAAGGCAAGACTTCTACTCTGCAACTAGTTTGTGTCCAGTCCTTCATCCCCCAGGCTGTGTGTTATTTGTCATGCCTCTAGAAGCTCTCAGGCACCTGAGTACCTGTTTATCTGAAAGGCATGGAGCAGATGCCTCTGTTTTTTGTATCTGTTCCATTCAGGTTATTTCCTCATTGCACCATGACTATGCTGGCTCAGACCTACCATTATGTTAAACAGAACTTGTAATAATCCACTTAAAACATAACACATTTATCACTTGCCTCAGATCAAATTTGTGTGGCTTCAAAGGCTCTGATGAAACCATGGGGATGTAGAACACTGGCTTTATCTGTATGTGTTACACTCTGATGGTTGGGTGGTTTCATTTGGATTTTTTTTTAAAACACATTGAGTTCAATACTGCAAGACTCTTCTGAGATGTTTCCCATCCTTGATGTCAATCCAAGTGTCTCAATAAATCCAGGGTTTACCATAAGATTATTTCCTTTTTCCTACCTAGAAAAAGTGTTTAAGCTGCTCTGTTTATCTGTGTCAAGGTATTCCTCTTCTTTCTTGCTGTCCCTGTGTTCCTTTTTTGCTGTCCAATTCCCACAGCTGACTTTCTCTGGCATTTCTCTGGCATAGTGCTGTTACTACGCTCACTAGTTGTAAACCCTTTTTGAAGGTGCCACAGATGAGAAATGTTTGTGTTTCTGGCTCACTTTTGAAAGTGAAGCCGTACTTAAAAGCTTGTAAACCATTTAGGTCAAAACAAGGTTGTGTGCAGGATCTCAAGGGGTACTTGGGACATTACCTGGAACTGTGTTTCCTTAAACATCTGGACTAAACCTGGTTTAATGGTTTGCAAGGCTTCAGGCAGGGATTTTTAGAGATGCTTAGGAATGGTTATGGGACAGTAGAAGTGTTTTCAGAAAATATGGTACCCAAGATTTCATCTCTACAGTCCAATAATAATAATTGATAATAAGCTCAGTGTTGGGCGCTTTTAGGGTCAGTAGTTTAGAAATAATCAAGAGGATAAAGTGAAGATGGAAATGCTCCTTTCTGTAAATAAAATGTCATTTTGA